AAAACAGTTTATACAAAAAGAACCTTCACTTTTTTATCTGTGCTCACATTAATTTCCAAATCTTACAGAATAAACCACATTCCTCCAAACAAAGTGTATGTTCTTACAGACAGAAAAGGCCTAAGAACCTTTTTAGTTCTCAGGAACATAAAGGGTAAGCAATCATGAATTCATTGTTTACTCTCCCTACGTCCTGGGGGGTAGCTATGGTGTTCGGCTCAACACGCATGTGCAATTTTGGCTAAACACCATTGAGAACTCTCCAAACACAGAAGGCTAATTGTAAGGATTGGTAAAATACACATAAGAAGGGTTGTTGCTATTATTGTTATTTATAATTCAGTTATAAAACCTCAGTATCATAATCTTGCAGTCTAACTTCTAAGTGGAGAAGAATGTCCAAAGATGTGTATGGAGGTATAAGGAAGAGTTAACCACATTGTTACTGTTGGAAAGTTAAGACCGTATATTCTCCTGTCTAAATGCTGATTAAACACCCATCCTTAATTTGACAGCTCTTGTTTTTACAACCTAAGCTGGTAGTTATCTACAAATGCAGGTATATAAGAACACCTAAAAGACCCTAGCCTTTCACTACTTTTTCCAGGCCATGGAAATCCAGAGCAGAGCTAGTTTTTCCAGGCCTGAGCTCTGAAATCCTTCTTTGGTGCTTTCACCGCTTCTTAAAACAGTAGTTAGACATTGTAATTCATTTTTGGGCCAAACCTCCATTTGGCCCAGCCAAATGCATTCAGAGTCTAACTACGGCCTCCACCAGAAAACAGTTTACCTTTGTCCTTAAATGTAAGATAAGAAAATGTGGAGGATGGAAGAGAGGATGCCAGCTTTCAGCTGCAGTATCTGCTAGGTTTCTTCCTGTTCCCTTGATTGCTCATTTAAATGTAACACACAGTGGTGGGGAAAGGCAAAGTGTCACTGAGCTGCAAGCCAAACCAGACCTGATTTTATGGCTATGTGCAGTACACAGATCAGTCCTGCCTTAGCTCCAGTGCAAAGGAAAGACATGCTCTAGAGAAAGAGCTTTATGTTCCTTGTTATTTTTGAAAGATTTCAAAAGCAGCCTTGTTAAAAGAAAAAAGGGCTCAACTCTGAAATCACTTCCTTCTGTTTAAAATATTTTACTCAAGGAAAAAAAAAAAAAAAAACAAAAGGTCATGAAAAGGGGAAAAAAAAAAAAAAAATCTGTTCTCTGCTTTTGCCTTGTTCCTAGGATTCAGCATCCTACCCGCTCTGTGGGATGACGCAGTGTGCCAGATCCCGACCGCTCCAGCCAGCGTGTCAAGCGGCCGTAGCCCTCCCCACACAATCACCCCCTTGTCGGAGGTGGCTGGCGGCCGCCCCGCACATGCTGACAGCTTCGCTGCCGGGAGGGCTGCACCCGCTTCAGGGCAGCTCTTCTGCTCTTGGAGCGAGGCAGCAGGGCGTGAGGAGGGCAGGCCGTGTTAGGCAGCTGGCAAACAAGCAGCTCTTGTGTCAATTCCCTTCCCCTCCTGCCCCCCAAAACGTAGCGTGGATGGGGACAGGGGAAAAGATGATCTTCGGCTTGCAGCAGTGGGGCTTTGCCTGGGAGTACGGCCAGGAGGGTGACTTTTGGAAGACCCACTGATGGAAGTTTAAAAGTTAAATGAACAGCTCATTGCTGCCCAAATCACAAGGGGTTACTTATGGCTGAGCAGCATTTTAACAAAGATCCTAAGATGAGGACTGGTTTGCCTCCCTCTGCCAATGCTCATAGGTTTACTTGGACTCCCAGCCCTGTTTTTCCTTGGTTCCCAAGGCACCTTCCTTCTCCTCCAAAATGAATTGCCTCCTCCTGGCTAAGTGGGTTGACACACACCAGCTCCCTTCCCTGCTCAGCTGTGGGGCTGGAGAGGAGGGAGAGGGATCTTAAGAATAAACTGAAACCTTTCCTTTCCCCTCTCCACCTCCAGCAAAAAGTTGGTTTCTTCTTCAAACAGCAATGTATTACCCCGGTCTGCATCATTAAGAAAGGCAGGGGGTCTTTTCCTATGTGTTATTGAGGTTCACTGATGCAGAAAAAGCCAGACTGCATGAGATAAACGTTCAGCAAGTTGCTCCAGGCAGTCTAAAATACCTGCCATTTCTGCCTTTCCCAAAGCTGGAGCAGATAAACTTGCAGCATTACACACTGAGTACCTTTGCAAAAAGACACTCAGGAAGTACAACACTTGAAATTAAATCTGCATGTAAAAATTTTAAGCCAGAATTGCAAGCAGACTGCAAGCAATGCCAGAGCACCAGGATGCTCATCTGATCAACAGGATGACCGCACCATCTACTCCAAACTGAGGTATCACCTAGCCAGCGCTTCGAAGTGATGCTTAGCTTTTTTTTTTTTTCTTAGAACCACACAACAATATTCCATTGGAGGTGCAAATTCAATAATACAGACTGCACTGGTCAGCTCATGGCAACTCATGAACGTTTCTCATGGCTCTTCTAGCACTCTGCTTAACACCCTGATGCACATTTAACCTCCCAAAAGTTTCTGTGGCTGCCCCCAGGCATGTTTCTTGGCTTCAGGTTGTGTTTTTTTTTTTTTGTTTTTTTTTTTTTTTTTTGTTTTGTTTTTTAATTTTTAATTATAAAGTAGCCCACAAAAAAAACCCCTAAGGCCGCAGCTGTTTCCCAGCCATCTTTATCCTGCAACTGTGTTTCACAGGTGGTAAGGAGGTGAAAGCATTGATGCTTCTTTATACTACAGCCCTATGACCGACCTCCTCCAACCAAAGAAACCACACTGCTTTGAAAAAACAAACATAAACACCTTTTCAAAATAATACCGAAGTGGAAGATCCAAATACAGCGTGAAGAGTGCCACAGTTTGAGATTCCCTTTGTTTTCTTCAAATAGATTTAATAAAATAATGCTGTTTCTATAAATGGTGTTTCATGCAGATTAGAGGAGGTGCTAAAGCAGTGTGTGCACAACAATGAATGAATTTAACTGCACCACCAACAAGAAATAAATAAGGTCCTGTCTGAATTTTAAAGAAAGCTTCCACACGTGCTACCTGAAGTCCTGAAAAATTTTACTCCAAATAGCCCCAATAAGGAATCAGAGATATTACTGAACTACACCAGCAGCCAAACTTGAGTTCCTTTCAGTTTGGCTAATGCTACTTAATCTCTGGAGTTGTTCCACCGTTTCCAGAACAATATCTGGAAAAAAATAAGGTACTTAACTAGGGAATAAGAATGGCTGCTTTATGTTCCTTGTACACCTCTACTGTTGTAGCCACACTGGGTGGCCTGTACACCTTCCCTGTGACCCCTGCTCGTAGGAGAACGGCAGAAGGTACAGTCACTACCTAGCCTTGCAGCTGCATACACACCTCTAATCCCATATATACTTGGGATTAGCTGCCACGTGCTATTTATTCAGTAACTATTTATTTATTCCTACAACTCTGCATTGCACTGGTATAAGTGCTTACTATTTCTCACCTACTTTTTTTTTTTTTTTTTTTTTTTAAAGTCTGAGCCAGTCTTTCACCTCACAGGCTGTATGAATATCAATTCCTTCAGAAGGGAAAACAAGGACCTATTTCCTAAAAAGAAGACTGCAAAACCTGAATTTTCTTTGTGTTCTTAACCTCATCTTGCCTTTTGCAAGGCGGATCATGGAGATGGAGAGGGACAGATTTCCAAACCACTAGACAGTCAGGAGAGGTTTTACCCACCACTACAGCCTCCCTCGCAAAACTCCTAGAGACTTTTTCTCCAAAGAGAAGAGCTGGACATGGAGGACTACGACTTATCAATGGCTGAACAGGTTAGTCAACTACACAGTTCATATTCTGGTTACAGAGCTTATCACTAGGTCAGAGAACAACACGTACATTCTTAAGCTAACAAATGAATTGACACAGTGACTCATATCAAATCTCTGCAACTGTCCTTCTGCCGTGTTTGTGCAGACAGTAGCTTCTAGAAAGCACAAGTCATGGTGTAAAGCCATGGAATTCAGGATGACAAAGCAAGAACTGGGGCTAAGTTCTGGGCTTTGCAGATTGTGTACAGTTGCATTTATGGACTACTAGGGCAACTTCACAACATAACGGGGTACTAGGATCCCAAGAAACCTGTGTACTATGCTGGAGGACCTCATGAGTGGGAACACAGTGTGGAAAAAGGACACAACTGGCACCATTCCTGCCTGCCTGAAGCTCACTCACCTGCAGCAACAAAGAGCAGAACAAACTGCAAAGAACATCACCAGGGAATGGTACCAGGTATCCAGGCTGTGATTTTGCATAAGGAAACTGGGAGCCTCAGACAAAAAACAAATACAGCCATTCACAAAAAGACAGGAACCTTCTGACTCCGAAGTGTACCATGATATTTGCCTCATGTTTTCCTGTTTTCTAAGTCCTGAAGCTTAGGCAACTCCTGAGCAGTGTGCTGAAGCACACCAATGCTTCACATGCTACTTTTCTGTATTAGCAAATTGGCAGATACTCAGATGTGCCAAACATTACAGACCTAAGCAAATGGTACATGCTGTGCTGTTTAACACGCAAAATCAACACAACACCTTTTGGGTGGCAAAAAGGAGACAAGAGGTACTTCAGTGGAAGGCTGAGCCTCCCCTGTACTATTTTAAGGTTGCAATCATTTGGCATCTTCAAAGGCAAAAAGGGTGAACACTGCACAGGATAGGCTGCTACAACAGGTTTTAAACCTCTACTGCTGCAAAAACCCACCGCCTTACATCTCGTGGTCCTGGATTTTCATCAGTTTTATGTTACAGGGCAGAGTGACCAAGTCTCTTATACCCACTTCCATAAATAAGCTTGATAGTCTCAACATATTAATGAATGCTGGGGGCTCTTATTGCCCCCTCCTCTTTTAGTGTTTTCCAAATGCTGCTGACCTCCCAGAAGCTGGACATGCATTACTGAAATAATCTGATAAGAAACAGAGGGGTAGAACGGAGGATGCAAAGTAAGCACTTACCAAGCACAATGACCACAGTCTTCAGGAGGCTCATCATGGTGTCCCGATTCCTGCGGGGTCCAGAACTGTGTCTGGACATTCTCATAGTCCTTTGGCGGACGTACCCAAAGATATGAGCATATAGGACCACCATGACCACAAAAGTGACCAGGTTGAAAATAGCCCAAAAGACCAGGTAGGAGTCACTATAGAGCGGTGCCATGTTGGAGCAGTGAGTGATATCACAAATACAGTTCCATCCGACACTTGGTATGGCGCCCATGACGATGGCCATAGTCCAGATAACAACAATTACGACCACCACTCGCCGGTTGCTCATCCGAGTATGGAGCTGCATTCGGAAAACTGTAATGTGCCGCTCAATAGCAATGGCCAACAAATTGGCTACAGAGGCTGTCAGGCTAGTGTCAATGAGACCCTGACGGAGCAGCCAGGTGCTTACAGTCAGTCTTCTAGTGTTGGGTCCTGTGTTGAACATTAAGTAAAAGTAGGCCAGCCCTGCAAAAAAGTCCGCAGCAGCTAAGTTGGCCATTAAGTAATAAATAGGAAAGTGGAATCGGCGGTTGACATAAATAGCCACCATAACCAAGAGGTTGGCCAGCATTATGAAGATGCAGACGGTAATCCCCAGTCCCATTACAAGCTTGCTGACAGTGTTCCATTCAGTGGCTAGATATTTTCCACTTCGGTTATAAAAGAAGGCAATGGTTTCATTGTAGTAGCACTGTGGTTCGCTCATGGCTGTGGACTGAAAGAAGGGGGGAGGGGTGGAAAGAGAGAGAAAAAAAAGAATGACATCAGAACTGAAAACATATGATTCCCTCCATGGACAAAATATGCACAGAGAGCGGGGAGGGGGACAAGAATGGAACACGCTTCAGAACAAATGTATTTTTTCAGACCAAATGACATTCCACAACTCATAAACAATTGCTCTGAGGAGTCCAGTAACAGTAACCAGATTAGAAACAACCAGAAGTGCTTCCATCTGCTCTGAGAGCTAGCATGATTTCTGACGTAGTTGTAAATTGCATAGCAAATGAGCTTCTGCCCAAGCAGACCTGCTGAAAAATTCACGTAAAGAGAAGGGCATGCAATTCATAATTAAGAGAAGTTAACTCTGTTACAGGACACCTTATTTACATTATCAGAGCATAAAACTGTTGTTTGGCTGTAGCGGTTTTAAAAGAAGAGCTCCTCAAAGAGGTGGAAAAGTAGATTACATTTCTCAGCAGGTTTTAATTTATTCAGGTCTTCATCTGGGGCATTCCTTCTTGTCCTGTCTTAAAAACAGGGAAGAGGACCCTAAATTAAGATCATCAATATGCTCTAAGACTGTGAATTGCCAGGGACAATATCTGTCCCCAAAGCACGAAGTGTATTTATAAACAATGAAAGAAGCACGACACCGTATTTCTATGATCATTCCTCTGTTTCCATCAGGCACATTTCTAAACATGTTTTGAAATACACTGTGCTTTTAGGTGTAACTCATCTGAACTGGCTTATTCCAATTTGGAATAGAAGGTGTGAAGCAAGGAATTAGAAAATCAGTATTTGAGTTAACTAGTGTTAAAAATGTCAAACCTTATTTCTTGCCTTAAGTACTGTTATGGCTATGTCAGAAAATACATGATTAATTTTTGTTGCAGAGTACTCAGCTGAGCACATCTAGGGGTGCAACAAACAAGCCCCATACTCCACCAGAATGTGCAAGTTTTGCATAAAACTGTTGACTAACAAGAAAATGCTTAATGAATTTCCTTCCCTACTTATAATCAATTACTCAAGGTGCAATTTTCAAAAGGCAAACCTTAGGAAAAGAAACCCTTCTGAATAACATCCTGGTTCCTTGTTTAGCATGGCTCAACAATGAGGGTGTAAAAATAATAATTAAAAACCTCAACCAAACAAATCAAGAAACTCATGTCAAAAAAGTCTCTCTTTAAAGAGACCCAGGAGACCTGGCTCTGACACCCTGCTTTAATGGCTGTGAAACTCTACTGACTAAACCTCAATTTTTACAAAAAATAGGTGCAGTTTTATCAAGAAACCAGGTAATATGCCCAAACAAAGAACAGATCAACAGTACTAAAAGATGAGAATTTCTTCCCATTAAAGCATGCAAACAAAACCCTATGTTTCGGACAGTTCCAGCCATTCTGCAAAATATGCTACAGCTAACCTAACCTTGATGTTGAAATCAAAAATGTACAGAATTAGGAAACAGTAGGAGCTGGACTTGAGTGAAAATAGTATCTGATAAATATTTCCTTATAATTATCCAAAGCTATTTCTGTTTCCTTTTATTTTCCTCTGTTTGTCAACACAATTAAGCTAATTCCAATAAAGTAATATACAAAACTTTTCACCTATATCCCAAATGCATTATATGACATTTAGATTTATGTTACAGAAAAAGGTCTTTTAAAAATGATTTTACCTCCAACTTAAACATTGATCAGAAACATTTGCAGACCCAGGATAATAAAAAGCCAGAGTAAATAGTATTTCTCAGCACAGCGACTATAAAACTTTTATTATTCCTCTAGGATACATCAACTCTTAGGTTAGAAACCTTTCAGCCTTCATTATTTAAGAATTTTAAAAAGTTCTCATCTAGGATCTCTCTGTTGTATAGAAAAAACAATTTATAAGGGATACTTAACAAAGAGAGACCTAGCTACAAGACATCTGGCTTTAATTCTTTGATTAAAGACCATGTGGTAATAACAGGTCAAGTATAAGAACCCTTGAGGGAGAGAGGAAGTCATACGAATGAATTAGTGGCCCTTATAAAAGCTTGCCAACATCTGCATTAATTATGTGAATGCCCTGTTTTTTTGCTCTCTGTAGGAATATCTGGATGTAGTCTTACAGTCTGAATTACAGAGGAGGTCAAGACTCCATCATCTAGTGGACTTTTGCAATCCTGAATAAATTCCCTTTTTTGTCTATGTATTTGTTGATCTAAATTTTTCTTTCAGATGGCTGCTGCCCATATGTAACGATTCCTGCTCCACTATTGCTCCTGTGGTGAGAACTGGCAGAACACGTAATTCAGAAATTTAAGATGTGGTAGATAACACTTTTTTTTTTTTTTCCCCCCACTTTGTTTTGCACTGCGTTTAGAATGTGAATTATCCCCTGATTTCGTAATATCAGCCAGGGCTGAATGTATGCAACATGCATAAGAGTATGTAAAATGCTACAGAGTCAGACTTGTTAAATTTAAAAGCATAACAGCACTTGAGTAATCTTGGAGGAATAACATGAGGCTCACTGGCTTCTCTCATTTTGAAGACACAGGAACAAAATGCTCTGTTTCCATACAGGATTTTGGAGCAGTTTTGTTTTAAAGGTGTGTTAATCTACAACTTGGGATCTCCTTTAAAAGCAATCTTTTCAGTCCCAAGGGGAAGAAGAGCAGAGGAAGAAACATTTTCCTGACAAAAGTTCAAACAAGGGACTTTCAGATGATCCGCTTTCTCAGACACCAGTGTGTATCTTATAGGAAGGTTTTGACTTCCCAGGTCACAAAAGTACAATCCCAAGGCATCACATTCGCCTGTGATGCTGCTATCTGACTGGAAAGGCTCAAGCAGGAGGAAAATACAACGTATCTCTGAGTACTGAAAGTGTTAACATACCATAATGGCATATGCTAGCAGGCAGACCCATCCCCTCCCCTGCCCCTGCAGGAAAAGGGGCAGGGAAGTTTATATTTTAATTTCCTGAAGTTTCACTCAGTGTGTTTCATTGCCTGGGTAAGCCAGATGTGCAGTGCCCTGAGATTTACCTCATCCATTTAGTATATCTCATCAGAAGTATAAAACAAACTGAGCTGCAAATTGCCAGTGTTAACTAAACCTCTAGGACACATCTAAGTACAAAAAGAAAACGTCTGAATTATAAACCAGCAAGACAGATAAAGCAAAAAGGAGTAATAGCAGGCTAAAAGCAAAGCCTCCTCTAACCATGTGAGATTGATTTAATACTCAAGACATAGTTGCCCCAAACCAGAGAATGAGAAAATCCTGAGTACATGGAGTTAAATCCCTTAGTATCATGAAACATAGTTATAACCATGAAACAGTACACACAGACCAGGAAATTTGGCACCAGGGCTTAATCGTTTGAACTCCCTCTGTTTCTACAGTCAATACCTAGTCATCCCATGGCCAAAACGTCCCCTTCGCACTGGCCTTTCCAGCCACTATCTACTATACTTATCCTACTGGCTCCTCTCCTCTGATGGTACAGGACCATGTCAGTGGGGAGATGGGGAAGATGACCCCACATAAGCAGCTTTTGAGTGTTGTGTGCTTGATTAATCTTGTTGCTGCCCCAGCTCTCCATCACGGCTTAAAGAATGGGGCGAGGGTTTAGATCCAAGGCATGGAGCAGCTGGCCTATGGGATGTCCTTGGGTGAACTGCCCATTACCACCTTCCCCTCTTGGGAAGAGACTGGAGTGGAGAAGGCACCGATTGTCTGGAGCAGGAAGGTGAGAGGCGATCTCTGGATCCTGCCAGCTGGGTGGTGGGTGCACGAAGAGATGCTGAGGGTGGAAAACAAACACCAACAAGTCTTCAAATGCTGCTGATTGATACTGTCTAAATGAAGCATTAGCTAGCACAAGGTGCCTGAGGGGCAAGTGATCAGTTTACAGACCCCACTGCAATCAGTGTTTGCAGAGTTCCTCTGTCCACCTAACAAAAGCAACAACACAAAAAGGTAAAAAAAGACACCCACCCCCACCCCTCCAGCATGCATGGGGGCATTTATTTCTCAGAGAGAAACAGAGCTGAACATTCTTAGAATACTAAGGTCTGACTTTTACAGCACTTTTAAAAATTGGAAGCCACAAAAATGATTCCATATCCAAGAAAACCCTTAAAAATATTTTAACCCTAAGCTCTCCAAACACAGTCTGCTCCTCTGTTTTTTTCCCTTTACTGAATTAACCTCAACATGCTGCTGTTTTCTTACCCACCATGCAGACAGGAGATGAAAAGCAATTTATTTGGCAAGGAAGTCTGAGGATGATGACAATTTTGCATACAATGAAATGTCAAGTACAAGCCAGAGACCTCAATTTTGCCGAAGTCATGCAACATGCATGCAGTCTCCTTAAAGTCTATGAGACTGAGGAGACTCAATCTATACAGAATGAGATTTTAATTCCGAGATAGCTACCCTTGGATCCCCAAAATAATATTTACCATTCTCAGTGCTGCCCAGAAATCCAGAAAACATTTCAGAGGAAATGCAGAATTGTAAATGGTAGACTAGAATTCCAGAACAGCACTATGTTTCTTACAGCTTTACATTTAGAGCATTGATGAATAGAAAAGCAGTAGTACTGATTTCAGTTTAGGTAAATACTCTGAAGTTTACCAACATACCAGGAAGGCTAGAGCTGAAAAAATCTGGGGAACCACCAAGTTCAAAATCCCCAAATAAGGGTATCAATTAAGAATATCTTTAAAATACGCATTAGCAAGTATAGGAATAATTGAATCAATATGTAAATAGTTTCTCAAGCCACAACTGCAAAACCATGGGTTTTATGAAAGTAAAGTTGTAACAGATGAGAAGAAAGTCCCATTTGCAGCAAAAATTTCTCCACTACCTAATGAAAAGCACAAACTATTGTTCAAACTGAAGAATGCAAAATAAACAAGAGGTTTAAAAATAAAGGGGAAGAGATAGTATTTCCTTTAAAGATAAAAGTAGAAGTTGAGGA